CTTCTTTTAGGTCTTCTTTTACTTCTTTTACTTCTTCTTTTACATTTACTTCTTCTTCTACTTCTTTGTCTTTTACTTTTACTTCTTCTTCTTTTACTTCTCCTTCTTTTACTTCTTTTACTTCTTCTTCTTTTATTTTTACTTCTTCTTCTACTTCTTCGTCTTTTACTTTTACTTCTTCTTTTACTTCTTCATCTTCTTTCACTTTTACTTCTTCTTCTTTTACTTTTACTTATTCTACTTCTTCTTTTACATCTTTTACTTTTACTTCTTCTGTTACTTCTTATTTTTCCTCTTCTTTTACTTCTTCTTCTTCTTCTTTTACTTCTTCTTCTTCTTCTTTTACTTCTTCTTCTTTTACTTCTTTTACTTCTACTTCTTTTACTTCTTCTTCTTTTACTTCTTCTTCTTCTCCTACTTCTTCTTTTACTTCTTTAACTTCTTTTTTCTTTCTTCTTCTTCTACTTCTTCTTCTTTTAATTTTACTTATTCTTTTACTTCTCCTTTTTACTTCTTCTTCTTTTACTTCTTCTTCTTCTTTTACTTTTACTTCTTCTTCTTCTTTTACTTTTACTTCTCCTACTTCTTCTTTTACTTCTATTTTCTTTCTTCTTCTACTTCTTCTTCTTTTACTTTTACTTCTTCTTCTTTTTTTTCTTCTTCTTCTTTTACTTTTACTTCTTCTTCTTTTACTTTTACTTGATCTTTTACTTTTACTTCTTCTTCTTTTACTTCTTCTATTTCTACTTCTTCTTCTTCTTTAACTTCCTCTTCTTTTACTTCCTCTTCTTCCTCTTCTTTTACTTCTTCGTCTTCTTCTTTTACTTCTTCTTCTTCTTTTACTTTTACTTCTTCTTCTTCTACTTCTTTGTCTTTTAGTTTTACTTCTCCTTCTTTTACTTCTTCTTTTACTTCTTCTTTTATTTTTACTTCTTCTTCTACTTCTTTGTCTTTTAGTTTTACTTCTTCTTCTTTTACTTCTTCATCTTCTTTCACTTTTACTTCTTCTTCTTTTACTTTTACTTATTCTACTTCTTCTTTCACTTCTTTTACTTTTACTTCTTCTTCTGTTACTTCTTATTTTCCTCTTCTTTTACTTCTTCTTCTTCTTTTACTTCTTTTACTTCTACTTCTTTTACTTCTTCTTCTTTTACTTCTTCTTCTTTTACTTCTTCTTCTCCTACTTCTTCTTTTACTTCTTCTTTTACTTATTTTTTCTTTCTTCTTCTTCTACTTCTTCTTCTTTTACTTTTACTTCTTCTTTTACTTCTCCTTTTTTACTTCTTCTTCTTTTACTTCTTTCTTCTTTCTTCTTCTACTTCTTCTTCTTTTACTTTTACTTCTTCTTCTTCTTTTCTTCTTCTTCTTCTTTTACTTTTACTTCTTCTTCTTTTACTTTTACTTCTTCTTCTTTTTCTTCTTCTCCTTTTACTTTTACTTCTTCCTCTTCTTTTACTTCTTCTATTTCTACTTCTTATTCTATAACTTCCTCTTCTTTTACTTCCTCTTCTTCCTCTTCTTTTACTTCTTCGTCTTCTTCTTTTACTTCTTTTACTTCTTCTTTTACGTATTTTACTTCATCTTCTTTTACTTCTTCTTCTTCCTCTTCTTTTACATCTTCTTCTTCTTCTTTTACTTCTTCTTCTTCTTTGACTTCTTCTTCTTTGACTTATTTTAATTCTTCTTCTTTTACTTCTTCTTCTTTTACTTCTTCTTCTTCTTCTTTTACTTCTCCTTCTTTTACTTCTACTTTTACTTCTTCTTATACTTTTTCTTCTTCTTTTACTTTTACTTCTTCTTGCTCTACTTTAACTTCTCCTACTTCTTCTTCTTTAACTTATACTTCTTCTTCTTTTACTTCTCCTTCTTTTATTTCTTATTTTACTTCTTCTTCTTTTACTTCTTCTTTTACTTCTTTTTCTTTCACTTTCACTTCATCTTCTCCTTCTTCGTCTTTTACTTTTACTTCTTCTTCTTCTTTTACTTTTACTTCTTCTTCTTTTACTTTTACTTCTTCTACTTCTACTTCTTTTTCTTCTTTTACTTCTCCTTCTTTTACTTCTTCTTCTTTTACTTCTTCTTCTTCATCTTCTTTTACTTCTTCTTCTTCCTCTTCTTTTACTTCTTCTTCTTTTTTTACTTCTTTCACTTATTCTTCTTCTTTAACTTCTTTTTCTTCTTCTTCTTTTTCTTCTTCTTCTTTTACTTCTTTTACTTCTTCTTCTTCTTCATCTTCTTTTACTTCTTCTTCTTCCTCTTCTTTTACTTCTTCTTTTACATCTACTTCTTCTTCTTTTACTTCTTTTTCTTCTTCTTTTACTTCTTTTACTTCTTCTTCTTTTACTTCTTCTTTTGTCGTGTGCCCGTTCCATTTACCGGTTCCTTTAAAACCCAGTTCCGTTAGAACTTATGAGACGGTGCATCCATCAGTGTTCGGGGGTGTATCGACGAGTATAATTGTACTAGATCCGGGTTTGGACTACCTAATTAGAATCTTGTCTTTTATTTTAAAGGTGAAATGAGTTGCACGAATAGCCAGCCCCAGAGTGCTACACTTCTTTTAAACTCGTTACCTTTTGGTTAAGATTCTAGAGAGAAGTCTGGAGGAAAGCCAAGCCTCTCAGCAATTGTTTGGGCTACCCGGAATTAATTGCGCCTCTAACAGCTTATGTGGGAGGTTGGTAACTATAAAATGATTTATGCTAGTTGATCAGGCTACCATAAGTTTATCAATTTATTTATTAATCCATCCTTCCAGCTGATTAGAGACTTTTTCAACCTGCAATCAGAGCCAAAATAACCTCGAATATTCTGCTTTTATCACCCTTAAGACAACTCGTTATTCGCAAGGAGGGGGAAGTTAAAACTTCCCTTATCTTAAGGTTTCTTTATATTATTCTGTTATAAACTGTAAAGTAAGTCCCGATAATTCAGAGACCGATCTTCGACATGCTTACCTCTGTGCTATTATGGCCAGGGCTCCAAACGTGAAGCTTTAGAGAAAACCTGAAAGAATCAGGATTATGTTTCTTTTTCAAAAAAGGTTTATTACAAAATCAAAATACAAAAAATGGGTAAAGTGAAAAACAACTGCTATCCCCCACGAAGGAATTAGTTCAAAATGAGTAAATAAGAGTTAGTTTACACCAGCTCTTGTCTTCTCAGAATCTCCCCAAGAACGAACTCTAGCTCTGCTTCTCTCCAAAAAACTGCCTGTCATCCCCCATCCAGCAGGACGGGGGATGACCCCTCCAAATTTGCTCTGTCTCTTCTTGTCGTCTGCCCCAGCTCTCTCTCTCCGATCTGAGCTGCATCCTTTTATATCATTTCTGAGACTGCTCTAAACAATGTAAGAGTCACAAGTCATTCTCTCCTGACAGTTTAGGTCAAGGGGTCATTTACCAGATACACTTTTTTAGCTCTACATAAGACATTTGGTATCATTTTCACTACATGCAGTATTCACATGAGGGCACAAAAGTTACATGCTGCACTCCTGGAATGAGAGCACAGGTCATAAATCTTCATGTTGGTAGCAAATTGTAGATCTTCTTTCAGCATTCCTGAGAGCTCCTGGGTCCAGTTGGACTTTCCTCACTCCATGCCAGTCCTTCTTTTCCCGCCAGAGGGGGAGTTAGGGGCGGGCCCAGGGGTGTGTCCATGGGTGGATCCAGAGAAGACAGCCTGTCTTTTGACCCTTTGCCTAGTTCTGTCCTCACCAGCAAGTCCTGAACTATTGTCCTCTTGACCCTTGTATGACCCTTGTCTCTGACCACTGTTTCTAAGCCTTGACCGGCTGCTCGGACTTGCAACATCCCCCATGAGGACGGACTGAGGCAAAGGACCATAAAAAGATAGAGCAGCAATGCAAGCCTTCATAAATCTAGCATCCATCTCACTCAGGAACGGCTGAACACTCAGACACCTAACTGTGGCATCCACATCAACCCTCATTCTCATCATAATGCCATCATCAGCTACGGGTAAGCACAAGGTCCCTTTGCGGGTTGTTACATAACCTTTAAACTGCTTTCTCCCATCTGTGGGATCTTCGCCCAGAAAGAATAAAGATAAATCCATCACTGGAGCCTCTCCACGCGGAAGCGATCCCATCATTTGGGGTGGGAAGCTGGCGCTGAAAACCAAAACATGATTTTTCGTATCCAACAAAGGTGCGGTCCCAAAAGAGTCACAGACTTCTGGGCCGAACCATCCAGTCTTTACAGACAAAATATTCATAAACTGAAAGCAATCTATAATCTTGCCTTGACAAACAAAGTAACACCCCTTCTGGGATGTAATCCTCCATCTCATTTCTCTCCCAGGTGCAATTCGGACAGGGGAAGGAATGCCTGCTGGCTCACTACTTAGACAGACCATAGGGATTTCACGTATCACATCAGGACACGGGACGCATGTCGAAGCTGCCGTCATTACTGATACAACCTCTTCAGCCACGTCAGATGAGGGCGCCGTTGTCAGCTCCTCGTCGTGGGCCTGCTCAAGCAGGGCATCTACTCCCGGGGAGGACAACATTAGTATGTCGTCTTCCTGATCAGTCTCCCGCTTGAATCCCTTTTCCATTTGGTCTGGATGTACTGAATAAACCTGAAAGACACGCAGCGTTTATTCATCGTAGCATGTTCACACTGGAGCCCGATTGTCTTAGTCTGAGGCAATCCATCCCTCCCGCGATTCACGGTGCACAAATAGTATGCGCCATTCAGAGAGAAAACAGTTGATGGACCTGCGGAGGGGATTAATCCTTCTATGATATTCTGCCGAATCGAGTCCATCTGGAAGGAACATAAAATATGTTCCACATCAGATATATAACTCATTCTATGAAGCAAAAAGTAACTGCATTACTGCATAAACACTTCTTAATTATAGGAGAAAATAAATCATCTGAAGCTGCAGGAAGAACCACACTACAATTCCTATCTGCAGGCATAGTTTTACATCAATAATCCTCACAACAAGTGTACACCAGTTATGAAATGTCTACAACATCCTAAAGACAAACTGGATAAAATAGTTACAAAATCCTGACATACCTCCAGATTCAGAGCGTCAATCAGCTCAGATTCAGGGTGAGTTTGATGAGCCATTTGTTCACCTCAAGTTACAGACTGACAGTAAAGGAGCAAGTGACATGCCGTGCAGAGAGGCCTGCACTTAAACAGGAGCAACAAGAAGGGGGGTGTGCTGTCCTCATCATACGTGCTCTATATGACTTGACAGTCAGATAAACGCCTCCTTGAACATCAAGACTCTGCAGACAGATGACTCCTTGTACACAGGTTTATTGACGTAGCAAGGAAGGTGAAACTGAAACATACAAATTATAATCAGTTCTGTTTCCTCTTAAACAAACACATTCAACAGAAATCAAATAAATCACTGTTTAACAATGAAATCAGCTGTACTCATTAACTTGTACTTTTAGCTTACATATTTTATATTTTTAACATGCCATGAATTATGTATTTATCTGTTGACTTATTTCAGTGAAGGGGTTAACACATATATCCGCCTTATAAACCCAAATTGGCAATGTTATTTCCCAGTGTGTAAATATATGTTTACAAAATATAATTTTCCCAAAAATAATGAACTAATATGACAAAGAATATATTTAACTTTCAATACATACCTACGATGCTAACAAAAAGCAGAAGACGTTTGCAGATGCAGCTGGATTGACTCGACTAACAACCTCCACTCTGTGCCATGTGCTTGCTTCCTGATTTCCTCACTCTATAGCCTATGCAACTTCCTGTGTCTGAGATCCAGTCCCTCTTAAAGCGACAGTACCATTTTTTCTAACAATGAGATTTAAACATTAATTCTTACGAAAACAAACAAGATTAACATTACATTTGCTCGTAGCAATACACTCCCCGCCTGGCGTGTATACACGTCACTAACAACTTCAACAGTTCGTATGACTAATCCTCTTTCGGAAGGAGAACTACTATCTCTGTAATAGGTCTACGATAGAGTGCAGTCCCTCCTGGTTTTACAATCTTCACTTCAACTTCCCGCACTTTTCCATCTTCACCTGGAAAAGTCTTCGTTATCAGTCCAGTGGGCCATTCGTTCCTTGCCAGGTCGTTATTTCTCAAAAGAACAATACTTCCTTCTGTCACGTTAGGTTGTGTAGACTGCCATTTCCTGCGTGGCTGAAGTGTGGGCAGATACTGCTTTTTCCATCTGTCCCAGAAAGTGTTGGACAAGTGTTGTACCTGGCGCCACTGAGACTTGTAGAGGTCAGACACTCCGAAGTCACCAACAGGAGCTGGAAGGACGTTTACCTTTTGAGTAAGAAGAGTGGCTGGAGTGAGCATGTACAAATCTTCAGGGTCATGTGTAACTGGCACCAGAGGCCTAGCGTTGATGATAGCCGCTACTTCTGCCATAAAGGTCACCAACACTTCATGGGTAAGTTTATCTTTTAGCTGAAGGAACATGGTGTCAAGTATTCTTCTTGCCAGGCCAATCATTCTCTCCCATGTACCACCATGATGGGAAGCATGGGGAGGATTAAAGATCCAGGTTATTCCCTCTTTCAAGAGGTAAGTGTTGATCGCTGAGTTGTCAATGTTTGAGGGTATATTTAACTCCTTGCAGGCTCCGACGAAATTAGTGCCACGGTCTGAACGTATGAGCTTGACTGGCCCTCGCACTGCAAGAAAACGCCTCAATGCATTGATGAAGCTTGATGCGTCAAGTGACTCGATGACCTCGATGTGAACAGCTCTTACACTCATACACGTAAATATTACAGCCCACCTTTTACTGTGTAACAGGCCACCTCTTGCACGACGTGAACAGATGTGCCACGGCCCGAACACATCCAGGCCCACATTTGTGAACGGAGGATCTGTAGTCAAACGATCTGTTGGAAGATTTGCCATCTTCTGGACACTCAAAGGAGCTCTTAGTCGTCTACAGGTGACACACTGGTTGATGATGCTGCTAACCCTTCTTTTACAGCCAATTATCCAAAATCCTGATGTCCGAATAGCTCCTTCCGTGTAATGGCGGCCTTGATGGTGTACTTGTTCATGATGGTGTCTTATTATCAAGGTTGCAACATGGTGTTTCCCAGGGACGATCAATGGATTCTTTTCGACTTGCCCAAGAGTGGAATGGACGAGACGGCCCCCAACTCTGAGAAGTCCATCTTTGTCGATGAATGGGTCCAGTCTGTAGAGAGGGCTGCCTTTAGGAATTCTTTCTGACTTCTGAATGCACTTGATCTCTTCAGCATAGATTTCCTCCTGCACCGTACGCACAATAACGTTTGCAGCTTGGTCGATTTCCTTCACAGTTACCTTTGTCTTACAGCAATGCCAGCCTTTGCAGGATTGGACCTCCCTTTTCGCTGTGCTGAACATCTTTGCTATGTGCAACAGCCGAGCCATGGTCTGAGTGAGAGAGTTCCATGCAGAGAACTTGGTGAAGCGTTCACTACCAATGTTTTTTGAAGACACTGTGGTAGACAGGGTAGTCACCCAAGGCCTCACATCTGGGTCTGCAACCGGGTCCACAAGATCAAAGGTGTCATTGTTGATACTTGGTTCTGGACTTACCAGAAATTTTGGGCCACTCAACCAGTTTGTGTTCTTTAGGTGACCTGCCACAACAGAACGTGTAGCATGATCTGCAGGATTTTGGTCTGTTGGGACATAGTGCCACTGGTTTGGAAGGGATGATTTCCGAATGCGGTGTACTCTGTTGCTGACAAAGACGTAGAACCGCCTGTTTTCGTTATAAATGTAGCCCAGGACCACTTTGCTGTCTGAATGGTAGGACATAGTATGGAGCTGGAGATCCATTTCTGTAGAGACTAAATCTGCCAGTTCTACTGCAAGAACTGCTGCACAAAGTTCTAATCTTGGCGTGGTCATTTCAGGACGAGGGGCGAGTTTGGCTTTGCCCATCACAAATCCAACACAACAGTTTCCACGTGCATCAACGACTCTTAGATACGCTACTGCAGCAATAGCCTTGATTGATGCGTCACAGAAGACATGCAGTTCTCTTCTGTAAGCTTCTGAAGGCGATGTTTGTGTGTATAGTCGGGGAACAGAAAACCCAGACAGTTGTGATAAAGATGCTCTCCATGACTCCCAGATCTGCTCCATATCTTTTGGTAATGGTGAGTCCCAATCTCCTTTTTCAGTGGTTAGTTCTCGCAGAATAGCCTTTCCTTGGATAGTTACTGGCGCCACAAATCCAAGAGGATCGTAAAGACTGTTAACAGTGGATAATACACCCCGCCGAGTGTATGGTTTCACATTGTCTGAGACATTGAACACAAAACAGTCTGCTTGGAGGTCCCAGTTGAGTCCAAGACTGCGTTGCAGCGGCAGTGAGTCATCATCTAGATCAAGGTCTTTGAGGCTATTAGCGTGATCAGTGGACGGAAAGGCTTCCATAACTTCTTTTTTGTTTGAGGCTATCTTGTGCAGTCGGAGGTTTGACTTAGCAAGAACCTCTTGAGTCCTTTTCAGGAGACTCACTGCTGTTTCGGTGGAGGGCATGGATTTAAGACCGTCATCCACGTAAAAATCACGTGTGACAAAGTTCTTGACATCAGGCTCAACCTTGGACTCTCGATCTTGGACAGACTGATGGAGACCATGAATAGCCACTGCTGGTGAAGGTCTGTTTCCAAAGACATGTACATTCATACGACAATCCACAACATCTTTAGAAGGGTCATTGTCTTGGAACCACAGGAAACGCAGGAAGTTTCTGTCTTCTTCTCTCACATAGAAGCAGTAGAACATTTGTTCTATATCGACAGTGAAGGCAACTGCTTCCTTTCTAAACCGCAGAAGTACACCCAGCAGAGAGTTGTTCAGGTCTGGTCCAGACAGCAGGACATCATTGAGTGACACACCCTCGTACTGAGCACTCGAGTCAAACACAACTCTAATTTGGCCGGGCTTCTTCGGATGGTACACGCCAAAAATGGGTAAGTACCACTGTTCTTTGTCATCTATTATCGGAGGGGTTACTTCTGCATGGCCTTTTTCGAACATCTTCTCCATGAAGTTGATGAAATGTTCCTTCATTTCTGGCTTCCTTCTGAAGTTGTATTTCAGGGAGATGAGTCGTTTCAATGCCTGAGGCTTATTGTTGGGCAGCCGCTGTCGTGGATGTTTAAAGGGTAAAGGCGCCACCCAACTATTATTTGCATCTTTATGCAGACCTTCATTCATTATTTCCATAAAAAGGGAATCCTGGATTGAAGGAGCCAGCTGGTTGTCCTCCTTTGTCTCTTTAAAGACAACATAACCAAGATGGTCCGCCTCACAGTCTGGTTTAATCTCAGATAAGGGCGAAGGATGTATCGGAATGTGTGTGTTGTCATATTTCTCTTTAACACTGAACACATTGGGGCAAGGTTCAAAGAGCGTTGGGCGTGCTGTCTCCATGGTTTTGGTGTAAAAGGTGTTGATTGATTGTGGCTTGTGGTTACTTCCTAGACATACATTTCCAACAATAACCCACCCTAGGTCGAGTTTTTGAGCATAAGGTAGGTTGTGTGAGCCATTCACCTGCTTGCGCACCTTATGAACTCTAATAAGGTCTCGACCAAGCAACATGATCTGGGCATGGGGGTCGATGTCAGGGATAAGACAAGCCAACGCCTCCAAGTGTGGATGGTGAAAGGCCACCTCTGGTGTGGGAATCTCCTCTCTGTTGTTAGGAATATCATTACATTCTATGAGACTTGGTAGTGGGATGCGCACACTTCCATCTAATGATTCCACTTCATAGCCACTAGCTCTTCTCCCAGCTGCCTCCTTAACCCCAGCACATGTTCTCAGTGTATATGGAGCGCTTGGGCTCTGGTCGTTGAAGACATCAAAAAAATGTGACCTCACAAGTGATCGATTGCTTTGTTCATCCAGTATGGCATACAGCTTTACAGCCTTGTCTCTGTGGCCTGCTGGGTACACCTTTACAAGGCATATTTTGGAGCAAGAACGATCAGCCCATTCGCTACCACAGACTTCGGTGCATTTTGAGTTTACCTTTGGTTGTTCTGTTGGTTCGTCATCCTCCCCGCCATGCTCATGTAAGGCGTTCACCCCCTTTCTGGGTTCTTGGTGCAGTGCTGTGTGGTGATTTTCGCTCTTACACTCTTCACATTGTAGCTTCATTTTGCAGTTCCTGGCAATGTGTGTGGAGGACGAACAACACCGGTAACAAATGTTATTTTCTTTTAGAAATGTCATACGGTCCTTGATGGGTTTCTCTTTAAATGTGCGACATTTATGCAGAGGGTGAGGTTTCTTGTGTATAGGACACATTTTGTCGTATTCATCCGGTCTTAATCTTTTTTCAGTATACGTGTAGGCTTGAGGAGAGATTTCTGTCTTGTGCACATATACTTCCTTAAACTTGTTCGACCTTGGAGCCGGTCTGCTCATCTGTGTTGCGTCTGTATGAGAGATGAAGTTAAAACATGGGTCACTGGCGATCCTAGCCTCCTGGCATACAAAGTCAACAAAATAAGCAAAGGGAGGGTAGGTGACCCCATTTAGATGTTTGTAGGTTGCACCGACTGTTGCCCACCTCTCCTGTAGGCGAAACGGTAGCTTTTGCACGATTGGGTTGACTCCTCTAGCTGTGTCGAGGAAAGACAGACGAGGTAAGTTGCCCTCAGTTTTGGCAGATGAAAGTTCCATTAGAAGATCGCCCAGTTTGGTTAGCTTATAGGAATCCCTGTTAGGTATTTTTGGGAAGTCTTCAATACGTTTGAACAACGCATTTTCTATAGCTTCAGCTGATCCATAGGTTTCATCAAGTCTGTTCCATATCATATCCAGTCCTGCTTGTGGATAGTTGATGTGTATCGCTCTTATCTGTTCCACATGTTGTGCTGATTCTTTGCCGAGCCACTTCAGCAGAAGATCCATTTCTTCACTCGGTGACAGGTTTAAATCCTGTGTTGCGGACAGAAAGGAACGTTTCCAGGCTCTGTAGTTCTGTGGTTTATCATTAAATTGTAATAAACCTGTTGCCACAAGCTCCCGACGAGCTAAATATCGTACAAAGTCACTCATGTTTGAGCTGTCGTTATTTGTGAGTGCAGGTTGTGGACAGGAAGGTGTCGTATTTGAAGGTCTGCAATATTGGGAATCATGACAGTTACCGTATTGCATCCTAGCATGCTCAAATCTTTCTTTGCGACCAACTGGAGGAGGATCTAGAGCAATGGGTTGTGATTGGGATGCAGTAGTAATGCAGTTTGGAAGAGAGGGTGCAGCATTTACTTTAAGTTGGTCAGACAGAACACAATTAGACATCTGTTCGGTTTTTGTTGGATCAACAAATGGCTGTGAGTTATTTTCCCGTATCCGATTTTGGTGGACAACATATTGCTCTGTGCGTGCTGAAGAGTCCAATGGAATAGAATCTAAGCATAACTTAGAGCTCTGCTTTTCACTTTTTTCACTGTTAATATCAGCTGCAGCTTCGAGGGCTTCTGCTTCAGCAATAGCTGCTGCTGACTCTTCCTCATATTTAAGTTTCTTTAAAGATGCCTCCAATTTTACTTTTTCTAGCTGCAGACTAACTTCTTTTTCAACAAAGGCAAGCCGTGCCTTAGCAGCTTCAGCCTTTGCTCTTGCCTTTGTTGCAGCAGACCCAGTTGCTGAAACACTTGATTGTACTGATGAACATGAGGCTCGTGAACGTGTCTTTAAAGACGCCTCCTCTGCCATGGCGCAGTCTTACCGATCTTGAAGAGTAATTGTTGTCCACTGATGATGTGTGGGGATTTAGTCTTGTTTTCAGCTTACATTGCGTTATCCCGCTGGACTGAGAGCCGTAGTTTCACTGTGCTGTCCTCATCATACGTGCTCTATATGACTTGACAGTCAGATAAACGCCTCCTTGAACATCAAGACTCTGCAGACAGATGACTCCTTGTACACAGGTTTATTGACGTAGCAAGGAAGGTGAAACTGAAACATACAAATTTTAATCAGTTCTGTTTCCTCTTAAACAAACACATTCAACAGAAATCAAATAAATCACTGTTTAACAATGAAATCAGCTGTACTCATTAACTTGTACTTTTAGCTTACATATTTTATATTTTTAACATGCCATGAATTATGTATTTATCTGTTGACTTATTTCAGTGAAGGGGTTAACACATATATCCGCCTTATAAACCCAAATTGGCAATGTTATTTCCCAGTGTGTAAATATATGTTTACAAAATATAATTTTCCCAAAAATAATGAACTAATATGACAAAGAATATATTTAACTTTCAATACATACCTACGATGCTAACAAAAAGCAGAAGACGTTTGCAGATGCAGCTGGATTGACTCGACTAACAACCTCCACTCTGTGCCATGTGCTTGCTTCCTGATTTCCTCCTGTAACAGGCTCTAAGGGTTACTTGTGGCTCAACTATCAGATTTACCTCGTTTAACAGTCAAAGTAAATATAGTCGAAGTTTTGGACCAGTAGGTTCGGCTACACACAGAAGAGGTGAAAAGGAATGAGACTCAAGACAATGTTTAAAGTATTTTAGAACTACCAGCTGGATGAATTTAATAAAGAAAATTTGAAAAAGAGAAAACAAAATTATTTCATACCGAAATATCTTTCTTTTTGGTACCAACAGTTTGAGTAACAATACTGTTCCGCAATCACAATTATTCTTATTTCTTTCCCTGGGTGCACCCTTTTTAGTAAATCAATTAATCTTTCAGCTCAGATCAGCACAATTTCAGTACACAATATCTGCTTGACACGTGTATAACCTCCAACTTCCTGCAACAAAAAAATAAACCTCCACTTTTGTCGGAGTGGCTCCGACTTGAAACACCAAATCGCCTCTCGTATAGCGTCGTGTAGAGTCCAAAAAAAAAAAAGAGTCCTAAATAATAAAGCGTGATGTCCAAAGGTCCAAGGGAATGTGTGCGTGTATGTGAAAGGGAAACGAGAGCAGATTGGTGTAATGGGGTCCTTTCGATGCACTCCTACCACACTCCACTGTGCAGCGAGGTGAGAAGAAGGCGGCGCTGTTGATCTGACTTATCCACGGGCTTGGCTCGCCATCAACATCAGAATGTTCATGCATCACACAAAAAAAACTGACCTGTCAATGACAGCGTCAATGAACAAAATGAATTGTTGAATTGAATTCAATTTCACAGTCTTATTCGCACATACCAGTGTTTTCTTTGGAACATTAACCATGTTTACAATAAAACAAATAGGTGAAATGTGCATTTTTCTTGCATTTCTTTCTAATGTTTTTTTTCAGTTTTCCCTTACAACAACCATTCACATTTTTTATCAATTTCTTAATAAAATATACAAATATACAAACAAGTTTCAGAATTATAAAATACGATTACTTTTCATACAGAACTTTAACACTTGCTTTTAGTAAACATTTTACCCTTAGTAACCTATAAAAAGTGCAAATAACCATTTAACAGGTGGAATGAGTTGCTCACCGATCTCACGAGGGGGCAGCACAGCAGCACAAAATGGCGCCGACTCTAAACCCTGGCTTTCTACAACTAGAAGTGCAAAAAGAACCAAACTAGTATATAAAAAGTGCAAATAAACATTTAACAGGTGGAATGAGTTGCTCACCGATCTCACGAGGGGGCAGCACAACAGCACAAAATGGCGCCGCCTCTAAACTCTGGCTTTCTACAACCAGAAGTGCAAAAAGAACCAACCTAGTAAATATCGTTTTACTCAACGGCTCATTTATGAGTAAACATGTATAAACTATTTTTTATGGTCGCAAAGACACCTAACTCTTCATTTTGTACCTTTTTTTCCCGAAACTCCTTGTCTGCTCGCTCAGTTGATGCGTTTTGATCAGGTGCTCCAGCCAAAAGAATTAACGGAAGATCTGCAACCCAACACGGAGAAGATGGGCGGGACATGCGGGGTTTAGCCGCAGCTCATTGGCTAAGAGCGACGCCTTCATTTCTCCTGGGAGTTAACCGTTTTTATGCTGGATCCGTAGGCTATTCAGATACAACTAAACGTAGCTCTTAAACTAATAGCTTATTTCTATTTTATTATTATTATTTATTTATTTTCATAGAGATTGACCTCTAATATTTAAGGTACATTTATATGTGGGTTACACCCTCCTCACTTTGAAGATATGCACGTCCCTGTGCATCTGAATGGCTAAACTGCATAGAACTTGAGATAGCTTCATTTAGGCTGGTAAATACTGCGTTGAGAACATACAGTAATGGGTTTCCTAATGCTGAATACTGTAACCTTTCTGGTCTCCGATGTGACCTTTGGGATCGACGAGGGAGGTCTTGACCCTCTTGAAGGCTACTTTGTACACTAGGTGAACTAGGCTGCTCAGTCACGATGGCTTCTTGACTATTTTGACATTCTGATGACATCACCTTTTCACTAGGCACTATTGGTTCCCTAGTTTGATGACTTGTTTCCACTGGATCATCTAGGTGAATGTCGGCCTCCAACAGACTGGGTTCAGGTAAGTCTACACAGTCAGGTAAGTTTTTTCTTTCCTTGGTTTCCTGTTTTTCTTTTTTGTCTTTGTTGGTGAGATTGTCACATTCTGTTGGATCTGAACATTCAGCAAGACTGTCTTGTTCGGTTTTTTGGACTTGTTCGGTTTTTTGGACTTGTTCGGTTTTTTGGCTTTGTTCGGTTTTTCGGACTTGTTCGGGTTTTTGGCTTTGTTCGGTTTGGTTGACACATTCTAATCCATCACTGGCAGAAACCTGTCTTTGGACACTTTCTGTACTTGGGACAGCAAAGGCCGATGACATTTCAGGCGGTTTGGAAGAGGTGGAAAATGACGCGGGAACAGGTAGGTACCAGGTAGGTATTGAGTCATATTCTATCTCTGAGCTACAGTCCTCATCCTCCTGCACCACGGTTTGCCTGGTCTTCCGGCGAGTCTGGGGCTTTTGAACACTGCTTTCAGTTGAATCCGAGGTAGGTATAAAATTACAGGGAAGAAGTAAGTCTCTGTGGAGTGTTCGGACTGGTCTCCCTTTCCCTTCTGGCTTAACTTTATAAACCGGTAGATCACCTGCTTTCTTCAGAACCACATAAACATCATCCTCCCATCTGTCGGCCAACTTATGCTTTCCTCTGAGTTTAACATTTCGCACGAGAACCTTATCGCCTACGTCGAGAGTTGAGTCAACCACTCTTTTGTCAAAGCGTGCCTTATTACGCTCAGCGTTCTTTTGTGCGTTTGAAGTTGCGATTTTAAAACTTTCCTCCAATCTGTGTTTCAGGTCCTTGACATACTGCGAGTGTGACTTTTTTTCAGCATTGACAGACAACCCGAATGTTAAATCGATAGGGAGTCTCGGCTGCCTTCCAAACATCAATTCATAGGGCGAATAGCTCGTCACGTCATTCTTAGTACAATTATACGCATGTACTAAAGGTTTTACATGTTCTTTCCAATGCGACTTTTCCCCGTCACTCAGAGTACCAAGCATTTGGAGGAGCGTCCTGTTAAACCTCTCAACTGGATTGGCTCTAGGGTGATATGGTGTTGTTCGTATCTTCTTCGTGCCAGTAATTTCACACAGTTCACGTATGGTTTTTGATTCAAAATCGGCACCCTGGTCACTTAAAAGTCTCTCTGGGATACCATAAGGAACTATAAAGTTCTCCCAAAGGGCTTTTGCGACGGTTCGAGCTCTCTGATTGGGTGTAGGGACGGCCACCGCAAACTTTGTAAAGTGATCAGTCATGACTAACACATCTTTTGTGTTAGACTGGTCTGGTTCAATAGATAAATAGTCTATACAGACTAACTCAAGGGGCCTACTTGTCTGTATGTTCATAAGAGGGGCTGCCCTCTCAGGCTTACTCTTCCGACGTACACAGCGTTCACATGTGCTGATCATTTTTTCAACTGACACATACATTTTTGGCCAATAAAACCTGGTTCGGACCAAATCAATGGTACGGTCAACTCCTAGATGTCCCATGTTATTGTGGAGATGTTGGAAAACCATTGGCCTTAAACCCTCTGGTAACACGAGTTGAAAGGAGATGTCTGGACCGGTTTGTCTCTTACGATAAAGAACTCCATTTTGAAGTTCAAATCGATTGAGTTCACGTAGCAACAGCGGAAGCTCTGGTAGTTCTGCTCTAAGTCTGGGGGATGGAGTCTGACCAGTCTCTAACTGAGTAATGACAGTATTAAGAGCAGGATCTATTCTCTGTTTCTGTCTCAGCTCGTCCTCTGTTATAGGTGGAACAAGAGGAAAACCAGTTAACTGTTCTTCCTCGAAGCTGTCGGGAACAGCTGTGGGATGTAAGGCTAGAGACTCAACTAAGGCTAAGCTTGGACAATTAATGGACTCTGAATCCACGTCCGCAGTAGTGACTGTGTGCCTGTCACAGATGGCCTGTATGACTTCTCTAGGGACTGTTTCTGTGTCGTCGCTGCTAAGGTGAGTAAGAGCAAACTTTTGGATTCTTTCACTTTCTTTCTGCGATATAGGATCATCACCTGGATGAACATGTGGACGACGGGATAATGCATCCGCATCTATGTTTTGTTTACCTGCCCTGTACTGGAGTTGGAATGAAAAGGTGGACAAGGATGACAGCCAACGGTAACTTGTCGCATCTAATTTTGCAGTTGTTAGAACGTAGGTTAGCGGATTACTGTCTGTCACTACTGTAAAGTGGGTCCCATACAGATAATCTGAGAACTTATCGGTAACAGCCCACTTGAGGGCCAAGAATTCCAATTTGTGGGCTGGATACCTCGTTTCACTTTTTGAAAGTCCTCTGCTGGCAAACGCTATGGCCCGCAATTGTCCGTCCTGAAGTTGGTACAAAGCTGCACCAAGACCAACAGTACTAGCGTCTGTGTGGAGAATGTACGGTAGTTTGGGGTCTGCAAAACCCAACACTGGAGCCGAGGTAAGCTTACCAATGATTTGTTCAAATGCTTCCTGACACTTTTGAGTCCATCTCTGGCCAAATGGCTCTTTTGGGTTGTGGTATAATGAGCTTTGCTGCTTTCTTGGTCCTTTCTTGGTGTTTTTTAGTGGTGGGTAACCGGCAGTTAACTCATTTAATGGCTTCACGATGTTAGAGAAGCCCTGAATGAATCGGCGGTAATACCCTGCAAAGCCCAAAAACGACCGTAATTCCTTAAGGTTGGTTGGGACGGGCCAAGATGTTAGGGCTTTGATTTTCTCAGTATCTGTTTCAACACCACGCTCTGATACCACGTGGCCGAGATATTTAACTGTGTTCTGAAAAAATTTGCATTTCTCAGGTGCCAACTTCAACCCAAACTCTTTCAACCGCAACAGGACTTTGTTCAGACGCTGCTCATGTTCTTCGAGGGATGATGAGAAAATAATGAGATCGTCAATG